CCCCCCCCCCCACACTTTTACTTCTGGGGGGGGGGATAAAGCCCCCTAGCCCACTCCTGTTCCGCCGCCACTGGTTTTTGGGGGGAGGACTTGCGGGCGGAAAAATTAGGGCGGGAGATGCAATGTTGGATGATGCAATGTTGATGTGCATGTTGTAATCGCTTATGAATATATCTGCCATATCGAGAAGACGAGTACATTTTAAACATTTATTAAAGCATTAAACACCGACCTATTACGTCATTCATAAACTGTAGATTTACAATATTATACAATATAAAATGTTTCTATTTCGGTTGAATACACAGCGTCAGGTAGAGTATTAACGTATAAGAGGAACAAAACTGGTTCTAGAATTTAACCTGACAATCTACGCCTGACTTGACTGAGATAACACGCCTAGAACAGTCACTTTCTAAAGGCGGTTGTCCCACCAAACCCTAGATCACGCAGTCGTTTAATTAAGCAGCTTTGGATGACTGACTTTGTCGAAAGCTTTCGACATGTCAAGGTAGACTGTGTCGACCTGGCCACCATTATCGTGCTGGGCCCCAATATAATCAAGCACATCAATTAACTGTGTCACACACGAACGACCAGCGATAAAACCATGTTGGCATTTAGAAATTAAGCCAATAACATAATCTTTAATTGAGTTAAAGAGACAACGTTCCATCACTTTTGACACTGAATGATTTTTGAGACGTTCTCTGGTTGGAAATTTTTATTCACGAGCTTTCGGCTGCCAGACTGCAGCCTTCAACGAGTAGTTATAAAATACAGTGATTACAGACGACCACGGTTTACAATTACAGATCGGAGCATACGCCTACGGTTAACAAAATTACAGTGACAAATAAATAACTGGAAGTGATAGTTCCGCCTATATATATAATAATTGTTCTATTTCTTTAATAAAAAACGGTATTGTTCTGGTAAATGTTTGGAATTATTGTCTGCATTAACTGTGAGCGCGGTGTGCCAAGATTCCAAATGTAGCTCTGTGGCGGTAGCCTTGTCGATTATCTTGCCACAGTGCCTTTTTTAAGGAATTTTCACTGGGGGCGGCAAAACAGGAAAAAAAGGCAGAACGAAAAATATGAGCTGTCGATGTTTGGCGAACGCGCGAGTCTGAAGAGAGATTTTGTAAAACTTTAATTTATTAACTTCACCTATATAAACAATAACTTCAACTCTTTGTAGCTATAATCGTACAGCTGTAACAGCTATTGAATTGAATTGAACCAGTGGTAAGGTAATTAATAGCTTTATTAGCATGACCATAAATTTACAGTATTGCTAAAGCATTACAAACAATATATAGAAGAAACTAGGACTATTACAGATTACTATTTGTGGAATGATTTATAATAGACTAATACAATATTAAGAAAAATTAAGAGGAAAGAAAGAAGACAAGTATGCTATTTACAAATAAGGTGGTTATTACAATCTTTGCTAATCCGCATTCCTGGTTTCAAGGTATTTAAGTCTTTGCTTGAAACATGAATAAACAAATTTTGAAAGTTTGGTAATGATTTCACTATCAGTTGATTTCATTAGGTCCGCTGATAGAGTTTGAGAGTTTAGATTAATCTGGTCAGATGAAGCATTCTCTAATGAACTTCGAAGGTTTGCACGAGATTGCTCATAGGCTTTGCAAGAGAGGAGGAGATGGGTTTCATTTTCCACCTCTCCTGAATTGCAGATTTTACATAAGCGTTCTTCACGGGGTATATTTTGATAGCGCCCGATCTCAATTTGGAGGTCATGGTTGCTGACTCTAAGTCTTGAAAGACATCTTCTTTTGTATGGATCTTTTATAAATACTAGGTAGTTTTCGAGGTTGTGGTCCGTTTTGAACGTTGAGTAGAAAGTCAGTTTGGATGAATTTTCAAGTTTATGTTTCCAAAATGTTAAGTATTTTTCCTCAAGGGTTTTGGTAATAGTTTTAATATGTTCAGTCGTTACGGCTTCTAAATTAAGGATTTCTTCATTTAGATTTAAATTTTTGATAGTATCCATTGCATTTCCGTAAAAAGATATTTTCTGCTTGGAGTGTAGATCTTTCGAGATTAGAAAAGCTTGCTTCGCAATGGTTGTTTGGGGAAGCGAGTTTAAGTGAGTGATGTATTTGAAGACCCTTTTGAATACGTTAATGATGAGAGGGAGTTTTCCAAGCTCAGCTCTGGAGGCAATGTTACTTGCTTTCCTACTGATAGCGAGGTAAATTTTACAGAACTTAAGATGAACTTTCTCAATTGGTGATTTATCCCAATTGTTGAAATCATTTTTCACGTATGTCCCCCATACTTCCGAGTTGTATAGTAGGATAGGAGTTATAATTGAATCAAATATTTTAATGGCATATTTGGGATTGAGATGGCTGAAATTGAGCTGTCTTCTTATACCGTATAGAGCATGCAAGGCTTTTTCGCTTAGTTGTTTTAGAGCTAGAGTAAAATTACCATTGTGATTTAGTTTGACTCCTAGGTAACAGTATTCCTGTACGATTTTTATGTTCCGATTTCCAAGATTAAAAATTGGTCTTGCTTTTCTTATTTTTCTTTTTTCAAATATCATTATTTGTGTTTTCTTCAAATTTATCTCCATAAGCCATTTTTTTTTCCAACAATGGAGATCGTCTAGAGATTTTTGTAGGCCGAATTTTGATCGAGATAATAAAATTAAGTCGTCGGCATATAGAAGGCAACTCAGTTTAGTCCCATTTGGTAGTATAAACGGATCGGCAGCTGTATTATCAAATGATGTTGCTAATTCGTTTATATAGATATTAAATAAAAGGGGGCTCAAAATACACCCTTGACGCACTCCTTTAGAGTAAGAGAAAAATTCAGTTCGATTTATTTTACTTTCTTTTACGGCGCATTTAGAGCTTGAATATAGACTTTTAATAAGGTTGTAGAAATGACCATCAATTTTGTTTTCAAGCAGTTTTAAAAATAGGCCTTCGTGCCAAACAGAGTCAAAGGCTTTTTTAAAGTCCACAAAGCATGCATAGATTTTTTCGTTTTTCTGATTTATGTGTTTATCAATTATTGTTTTAAGACGAAAATGTGGTCAGCTGTTCTGTGGCCTGACTGGAATCCGATTTGAGAGGGGTGAATTATGTTTCTATCAATGCTAAATTTACTTAACCGTTGATTTAAAATAGTACAAAGGAATTTACTGAGACAGCTAGTCACGCAAATTCATCTGTAGTTATTGGGGTCAGCTTTATCTCCTGACTTAAAAATTGGCGTAATGAGGCCTTCACACCATTGATCTGGGAAACGCCCTGTTTTTAAAACGAGGTTAAAAAGTTTATGGTATAATTTAAGTAATATTTTGACGCTATGCTTCAGCATTTCGTCTTTTATCTTGTCGGAATAAGCAGATTTGTTGTTTTTTAATGTCTTTGCAGCACTCAAAACTTCTGCTTCAGAAATAGGTTCATCAAGAAA